ATTATTATTTTAACATTTTTATGTTGGTTTAACAACACATATATACCATATAAATCAGACAGTTTCTAAGTGTATTTTTGAACTTTAGACAGACCCAGGCTACATAGCTGTTTAGAGTGTTTATGCTAAACTATGCTAAAGATCTCCTGACTTGATATCAACTTCATGTCCTGACAAGCATGGACTTTATGTTAATATTCTCATCCCAATCTTGGAAAGAGAAAATATTCGTAAAATGTTGAACAATATTTTTAAGGCCAAGAAATACAACTAATGCTATAAACTTTGCCGACTCATTTCAGTTGTGTCCATGTGGCTTGACTACATACATCAAATACAAGGCATAGCTGTGGTAGATTCACAGATCACTTTAAGTACAATATTTGTTTCTGGGTTTTTTTTTTCATCTTTTGATCTTAAGACCATTGTATTGCTTGTTGCAGAGTTGTTACACTGCCTAGAGCTGATGAAATCAACAACTATCAGCAGAGGCTTTGAAGAAATCCACTGACATACAGGAGGTATTTATTGAGTTGTTGATTTCTGTTTACTTAAGCGCACTTGTTTTCTGTTTAAATACAAAGGTTAAATGAACAAGATCAATGCCACCAATAAATGAAATGAGACATATTTTGAGAGGGGAGTAATGAGCAAAAGGCATCTGGCTGCTTCACTGGTTTGTGACCCAAGCTGAACTGGGACCACATGGGAAAGTGGAAGCATTATAGAGAAAATACCACAAGACAAAGCAACGCATCCATGAACTCAGAGTGAAAGGTTTGATCACACTCATTTTGTCATTCTGAATGTGCTTATTTTCATGCCATTTCAAGTATACAGTGCCTGTAGCATCCCATAACCATGAACTGGAGTGTATTATTTGTAACATACTGAACATAATGTGCTCTTATAGCACCCACAAATGCACCAGATAGCCTATGTTATGTTGCTTTCTGTCAACCTTACCACCACACTTTTATATAAAACTGTCACAGTTTATAAGTATTTTATACTTGCATGCTCAGTTTTTTCACAAGAGTTAAATGAGCTAGCCTATGCAGCCAGGGATCAACATGCCGAGGCACCTGACCTATCCTGCCACCCAACTTGCATTGCACGCAATCCTGATTCGTTTCCCTGCAGGTGGTGAGTCCACAGGGCAGTCCACTAATGCTCTACCAGAAACTGGTGGACTGCTTCCTCCAGGCCAGGAGTGAGTTGCCGTCCCAAGTAGGAGTCTAAGTATCTTTGGTTCTTGTTCATGGCTGAGGGTAAAATTGAGCATAAAATTGACAGGTGGTTAGAGGCAGCATCAGCAGTAATGTGGACGTTGTACCAGACCGTCATGGTGAAGAAAGAGCTGAGCCAAAAGGCAAAGCTCTCAATTTATCAGTCAGTCTATGCTCCAACCCTTGCCTATGATCACGAGCTGTGGGTAGTGGCTGAAAGTTCACAAATACAAGCAGCCAAAATGAGTTTCCTCTGCAGGGTGGCCGGACTTAGCCTTTGAGAAATGGTGTGAAGTTTGGACATCTGGAAGGAGCTCGGAGTAGAACTACTGCTCCTTCACAATGATAGGAGCCAGCTGAGGTGGTTCGGGCATCTTATCAAGATGCCTCCAGGGCACTTCCCTTTGGAAGGTTTCCAGGCATGTGCAGCTGGTAGGAGGCCCTCAGGTAGACCCAGAACACACTGGAGAGATGATATATCTCATCTGGCCTGGGAACACCTTGGAATCCCACCAGAGGAGTTGGAAAACATTGCTGGGGAGAGGGACATCTGGACTACCTTACTGAACCTGCTGCCACTGCAACCCGATCTGGGATGGATGGAGTTAGATGAGAAGAGCAATATCATTTTCACGTTAGTACAATAAATATGAAGCTACAGCCAACCCCTAAACATATGAGATGGACATAAGGAACCAACTAGCCTGGTAACAAAGGTAACAAAATCAACCCAACAGCACCTATAAAGCCCTCTAAATTCATGGCCTAGCTACAGCTCACTAAAGCTGTGTTCACACGTGAACTGCTGACTATGTCCATGGAATCAGGCTCGGACTTTGTCCAGTTTCCCATTCACACAGGTAGTCCGTGTCAGATGTGTTCTCACCTACTGGAAATGCTCCATTTGTCTTATACATGGAGCATGTGCTTGGGTAGAACATGCAGGAGGCAGGATATGATGTGGTCTTGTAGCCAGTTTGTAATTTGGTTATAAACAACTGAGTCTTTTGCCTTGTCTGACGATTCTGGTGCCAGCAACCGAATCTCGTTGTGTCTCCAGTTGGATATTTTCACTGGTGTCTTCATTGTAATTGACCTTTTTTTTTCATCGGATGTTTGTATTCTTCCAGTTTTGCACCAGTCACATGATAGAATGTCATCAACATGCTCATTAGCTCCATGTGAATACTCCGGACTATACGCCGTTGTTTTCTCACATGGGCTTAATCCAGCTCATTCGGATCTTATGTGGATTTTGTACGAGGAAGCTGACAAAGTAAAGTCAGTTTAAAGTCCTGGTCAGCTGACTCGGACGTTTGCGTTCTCAAGTACAGCTCCCCCTGAGTAAAGTCTAAATAATTTCAGGGTTCCAGTGCATGTCTGAAAAAGGCTTATGAGGCATGAAAATTCCCGGTTTCAAGTTTTTATGCCAAATTAAGATAACTCATGTTTGCTTAGCTTATGTTTATTGAATATGTTTGAAACTGCAGATATGACAGTGATATCAGTCTTCACATCTAACTCATCCTAAAATGTCAGAATATTCCTTTAATGTGTTTTTAGGTAAGATGCCATTTGCTCATTTAGTAGATTTCATTTGGAGATCTTCCTGCCGAGACTGCCATCCTCCATGCAGTCATGAAGTGGGTGCTCTCTATCTGCAGATAATCTGAGCTCTAATCTTCTCTCATCAGTTGGCTCAGCTAAGTGAATAACATTCTCTCTAAAGGAACGCCCACACATGCAGTAAAGCAAGTGTGATGGAGACACGGCCATACGTAGCTGTGGTAAACAATCAGATGAAATGAAGTGGTGTGTAAACTTGCAAATTGCAACTGGCCTCTGTGTGGCTCAGTGTCATGTTAATAGAATATACAGAAACACAGAGTGAATCCCAATCTGAAGTTAACCATGATAGTGAATGTGGCTCTCTTGCTTTTTCCCACAGGACAAGCAGCTTCATTATGAAGCACCATGGTCTCCTTTTCATCTCAGTGAGATCACCCCTGTGGGGAGTATCAACACTGTGAGCCACATCTGACGCTCTCTTGTCCCTGTTTAAACATTGAAATAGTGTTCTGCCATATTGTTGTGTGCTGCTGTTTTTTTTTTTTAATCTGGTCTGTTTCATAATGCAGCTGCTGTGGAAACTGCCACAGGACTGAAAGATCTCAATGGAGAAAGGAGATGATCAATTTGTGAGGAACCCCCACCCACCCCCCAAACCCACTCCCCCACAGCTCCCTGCCTCCTCCACCCCCTCACCCCCTCCTCCTTCTCACTTCAACTAGCCATAATTATTTTGCAAAAGAGCTTCAGCAAAGTACACGCAGAGTAATTTCTGTTGCCCAGTTATGAAAAGCTCATTAAAATAGGCCTGGAACAAACAAAGCATTTCCTGTGAGGCTCCTTTTCAAATCCATTTCATAATTTCAGTGTTTTAATAATTTATATCAATTAATCATTCCTTGGTGAAAAAGATATTCTTTGCCATCTTCTGTGGTTTTTTGTTCTAGTGAGTGAGAGGCTTGATGAGAATGTCAAGAGAATATGGTTCAAACCAAGGTGGAGCAGCACTGGCTTTGCCAAAGGGAAATCAGCTTGATGCAGCACAATCTCTCTGGAGCTGCAGGAATAATTAAACAATTAAAGTCAAGAAAAAGATCATCCACATCTGATGTCTTTCTAATCAAGTCAGGCATATCTTATAATAAAGCTGTTTTGTCATGTGAAACCACTCAACCCAGTGAATCTCAAACAAGTTTTCTTTGAGGCAACTTTTCTAACTTTTTTCTGCAGCCCCCTACCCCACCACCCCATCCCTTTTTTTAACCAAAGGTTGTCACTAGTTCATGCACAAAGCAGTTTCAGCCAGCTACACTGCAACACTTCAGCTTTTCCTTTTGGCAGCAACTAAAAAAGGAAGAATTCTCTTCTTTCCCAGCATCATACAGGAAAACATGTTAGTGCCACATTATTTTTATTAAACGGTGTTACAGTTGATGTCTCACATCATGGTGAAAAATTAAACCTGTAAAACTGGATGAATTAAAGGATCTCAGCCAAATCGAGGTCTTGCAGATTAGCCTTAATAGGTGTTGAAACCAATGACCTGAGGCTTAATGAGGTTGTAAACGACAGCAGGCCGTTGCTGCGATTATTTCCAGTGACAGACGATGGCGCCACTACGCAGCTATTAGGCGTCGATATTTCCCAGAGGTTGGAGTCACCCTCGGTAAACTAAGTAGTTATTGAATGTCAACTAATTAAACTCAGACGTGAGATGAATGTAGCCTATTATTGGATGCTGCCATGCAGGCTGTATTTTAAAAATGGTCTGTCTGATACTAAATGAAACAAATAAAAAATGATATAGAAAAAAAATCCATCCGTATTATTAGAATGCTATTCAACTTTCAAAGCCAATCACTCTGTTTATGAATCTTATAGACGACTAAAGAAGATAAATTATAGGCTACAATAGCAACTCATTCAAAAGGACACAGGTAAGAATAGGCTTATAATAGCTTTGTAATCTTGCAGTATCTCCAAGTTGTCTAATGTTCAAGAGTGTATAGGACACTTGTCTCTTCGCTTCTTTCGCACCTCTCCAGTCCATCTCTGTCCGTAAGCCTCCGTTTCCATCTGCGTGGCCACCTCAGTCTCCCCTCCCTCTGATTGGTTGGATTTGTTATTTCGCTCAAATGAACTGCACGCTGATTGGCTGCGGCGGCACGTTCGTCACGCGGCTGAGAGGGGTTTTTACTGGAGGTTTCTTCCTGTCAGCGACACATGTAGAACAGGCAGCTAACGGGACCCGGAGACCAGACCAGGGGACAGTCCAGTGTAGCCTCTCTGCCAGCCTCGTTATTTCCCTTTCCTTTCTTTTGCCAAAACACGCACGTCTTTGGTTTTGAGGAAATTACGGCATGCGTAGATCTGTTACCACGTCTTGCAATGGACTCCTTTTGTTCCAACGAAAAAAGAGCAGTAAAGCAGCCCCAGTAAAACGGGAACCCTCCGGTGGAAATACTATCTGCTAACTCCATTTGCCCGTCGCAGTGAGAAGACGAGCTGCGGTTCGCTGTCGCGCGGAGCTGGAGGCCGACCGCGCGTTATAGTGTGCCCGCATTTAGCTGCACTTTGTGGGACTCCTGTAGCCTACCTGTCCACTTACCTCCCCTTCAGGTCGTTAACTTTACAGCCATTACAGTTAGAAGAGACAGACGAGGTGGGTGTTTGTACTTATCACAGCTGTGTTGCATGACGACTCCTTAATGTGTGTTTTATTCTTTCTAATTGTGGCTTGTATGCACTCGTCGGTTATACTTGTATTTCCTTTGACAGTGGTGGTATTTGATAGCCTGTGTTATTCTTGCGACCAGATTTCAATCGGCTTTGTCCTTTATTCACACATTTACCCCGCAGTAACACCAGTGTGACGCTACATTTCCTTTATTTTCCATTAAAAGGCAGCAGCCAGCGGACAGGACATTTTAGCACATGACTGCCTGATATTTCCCCCTCTCTCTCTTTTTACTTCCATGTCTTGGTCTCTGCGCCCAAATTGCCTGTCCGTGTAATTACTTGAGTTAGCCCATTTAAGTTAAAAGCCACCCCTCCTCTCCCCTCCTCTCCCCTCCATCCCTCAGCGGGGAAAAAACAGAAACTCCTCAGTGAATGAAACTTGACGATGGTCACTTTCAGGTCGGCTTTTTTTTTTGATTCAGCTCCCTTTAGATTTAATCAGCACTAAGGTACGCTGTGGTTTGTCCCCAAGAGCCATCGCTAATGGGCTTACTGAATGCTTTTCTGTGTGTGCACCCCCCCAAACACTAATTAGCCTACCTGCCTTTCAACAAAGATTTGGCTCTAGCCAGCCATGTAGTCAGCAGGACCAAATTGGACAGGATTACATTTGAAAGAAGCCACGTTAATTTTGGGGTGAAACAAATGGCTGCATTTCATTAGATTAGATCGTCATTACAGCAGCTCTGTGGTCTGTCAGGGCTGTGTGTCCTGTTAAGGTGCGGTTACGAAGACAAAACATATTGATTGCTCGGGTCAAAGGCCTAGGCAGCATCAAGTGCTGGTAAACACAGAACCAGCATGTCAGTTTGAAGCCAGTTCTGATTCAGTCTACTGGTAAACACAGAACCAGCATGTCAGTCTGAAGCCAGTTCTGATTCAGCCTGTTCATACAGTATTCCTTTGTGTTTTGCAGTAACCACCTCCCAGCTATGCAAACCTCAGTAGAGTGCAGAATTGTGCGTTGAAGTAATTGTGTGTGGCTTTTTTTTTATTTTTTATTTCTTAGGACAGCTTGACAAAAGCCTGCTCTGCCTAATTGTTCCTTTGGCCTGCAGCCTTATCAGCTAACAGGCATTCATCATGAGCGGTGCATTGAAGCAATAGCGTGGGGATGAGACAGAGATCAAGGGCAGATTAGTTCACTAAATGACTTGTAGCTCTCTTGTAGCAGGACAGGTCTCAGAACTGTTCCCCTTAATCAAATCAGTTATTGTGGTTCGGCATGATTTGCAGACTGCAGCTGTTTAAAGAACACAGTGATGCAAGAAGATGTTCAAGAGGCTGGAACTTTTACATTTGATAATTCACTTGTGGAGCGTGGTTCACATGATCCTGACACCCTGCTTTATAGAAATCCAACACAGCCCCTTGCTCGGTCTCAGGTCGTGACCCCGCTGTGTACAAAACAATAATTACCTGCTAAAAGCTGGAGTTGTAACCTTCTGGGGCTGAGATGCACAACTGATGGGACTGTCAACATCATCTTCTCTGTCTGTGTGTTTGCAGGGACGATGGTGAATCCTGGAGGCAGCAGCCAGCCACCACCAGTGGGCTCAGGTTCTCTGTCCTGGAAGCGGTGTGCAGGGTGCGGGGGCAAAATCGCAGACCGCTTCCTCCTTTACACCATGGACAGTTACTGGCACAGCCGATGCCTCAAGTGCTCCTGCTGCCAGGCCCAGCTGGGCGAAATCGGCACATCGTGCTACACAAAAAGTGGCATGATCCTCTGTAGAAACGACTATATCAGGTGAGAACAAGACCAGATTAGTGGTAACTTTCAGATTATCAGTGATTGTTATTACCACAGATTACATAACGTTATTACTCTTCTGATGTCCCAGTATAACTTAGATTACTCATTTCACATCTCATATGGGTTTTAAAAATTGTATATATTAGCAACCAGATAAGTTTACTTTGAAAAGGCCTTGAACATAATGAGCAGTCGAATCAAAGGCCTGAATTCACATGGATTTTTGCTGGTCATGCAATGATCCGCAAGGTTGGGTGTGTTTCTGCGGAACATGCCTCAAAATGCACTAACATCATCAGTGCTCGTTAAAGTACGCCGGTTGAAGTCTCCGTAGTCTTCCTTGAAAGAGGTCAGTCA